GGTTTTTATTATTTTAAAGCTGCACTGGGGTGGCATTAATTTCGTTGTACAAGTTGTACAATGACAATAAAGATTTCTATTCTATTCAGGAACAGAATTTCAAGAAAGCAAGAGAAGACACACTATTCCAAACCTTACACTTAACAATTTATATTTTTAAAATACAAAAGATATAACAAATGACTGATGAGTCCCACTACTGTTTATTAAAATAAATAATACAAGTTAAAGTCACTACTAATTTCTTATGAGTGTCATGGATATTGCTCATTTTCTAATTCAGTCACAACAGGGAATCATTTCAGTACATCTAACCTAACCTGGCCAAAAAGAAGCTGATAACAGAGCTATGGAAAGAAGCTGAAAAATGCTAAACATAATTTTCATCCTACAGTGAGCTGAGAGCATTTATGTACCAAAGATCATACTCACAGAATATAAGGGTTGAAAGCTGCGGTGTCCACAGGGATGGGGTAAAAAGATTCAAGATGGCAGCCACAACCATGCATCTGAAGCCCTGAATGTAAAAAAGAGGCAGGACTTCGATTTCATATTGTGGTTGCCATCTTGACTGACTTGGAAATCATCTGGTCAAGTCCCCTGCTTAGTGCAAGATCCATTGCTACAGCATTCCTGATAGATGCCATCCAGCCTCCTTAAACACCTCCAGCAAAGAAGAATTTACCATCTCCAGAGGAAGTCTATTCCATTGTTGAATAGCTCTTACCATTGTTTCCTGATGTCCAACCGAGTTCTTACCCCTTATATTTTAAGCCCACTGTTACTTGTTTTGTCTTCTGGAACAACTTTGAACAAATCTGCTTTGTCTTCTATAAAACACCGTTCAGATACTTGAACGCAGGCGTCATGCCTTCCCACAAGTTAATTCTCTCTGGCTGCTGGCTCATATTTAGTCCGTGATCCATCAAGGATCCCAGATCATTTTTGCATGTACTGCTGTCCAATATGGTTCCCTCATACTCATGATTTTCTGATGCAGATGAAGGACTTTGCATTTGTCCTTGTTGAAATTCATCTGGCTGGTTCTGCCCATTGTTCCAGCTTGTCAAGATCCTCCTGAAATTTGATAGTGTCCTCTATGATGTTTGCTACCCCCTTAACATTGTATTGTCACAAATCTGATAATTGTCAAGGCCTGCTGCTTTACTACTATATTCCAAATACATTTTTGACCCCGTCCATAATTAAAGGAGCAAATAATTAATGTTTTTGTAAGGAATCTAATTGTGGATGGACAATGTTAGTTTTAAAAAATCTGTAGAATACCATCAGATAGATACTCAGACTTAATATATCAGTCAGGTCAGAATAATATTTAAAAGTTTGCAGAAGAAATATATTTTTATGCATCTCTATAGTGTGTGTGTGTGTGTGTGCATGTATTTTCTCACTTTAATAATGTAACAGTTGTTTCTGTTTCAGGTAATTTGACAAGGTCTGGTCAGGTTTTTCACCATTCGCCTAATACTTTTGATACATGTCAAAGGCAAACTCAGATCATTGTGAAAGTATTATTCAGCTGAGTTAACTTCCTATATAGAGTGGTAATAGAATGCTTAGCCTTCTGCATCCACAGAGTTTTCCATTTGTTTTCAAAAGCATATTTTTTGCTTCTTCTTATATAATGCTTATGTAGTAGTACAACCACACGTATGGCTCCCATTAAAAGATTAAAGATGAAGGGTTAACCTTAATTGTGAAGTACTTCCAATGACAACGTTCAAGGCAACAATAAATCTTCAGCTGAAAAATATTTTGCCTGACACAAAAAGTGCATTATTCTATTGTGGGAAAGTTGCATCTATTCATGTGATTATGGAATAGATTATTATATTCTTGGATATCACTGAAATGCAAGAATTGACAAGGAAACAGATGAGCTGTTTCCTTTTTTATATATAGTAATTTTATTAAAAATTACAACTACAATGATACAAAACTAATACAAACGAAAATAAATTAAAAAAGAAAAAACAGAAGATGCAGAAAAGAAAAAATAGAAAAGAAAAAATAATATAAAGAAAAAGAAAACATATAAAGAAGTGACTTCCCCCTTCATCACAAGGATTAACAATTTTAGTAACTTATCGCCTTCTCTTGAAATACAAATGATCTCTTCTCCCCATATCCCATCTCTTATCTATAAACAAATCCATAAAGCCTTGCCATTTCAGTCCCGAAGTCAGCAAAAGTCAACAGGGGTTACCAGAAATAACAACATATCTATTTTAACCTTGATAAAAAACCCCCAACTTTATATGCCTTCCTTTTATTTTTAACAATCTTGATCTTTAGTCCCTTCACATTATGCCCTAGAACTTGATTTGTTCTCATTTTTTCTTTGTCCCTTCTCACAAAATTCTTCAAAGCTTTAAAAAGCCTTTTAAAAATCCAATATAGGAAAATTATCCAGGTCACTCTCTTGGTTAATTATTTGCATATCCCTTTTAATTATGAAGACATCAGCCGGTTTCTTTTGTATGTCCAGTGTAACATCTTTTTCCACATCATTCTTGTAGCTTGTCATTTTTAAATCCACTTTCAGATCAGTCTCAATCTTGTAAGGTAAAATTTGTTCCTCTTCCATAACATCTTTTAAACACAATCTATCTACAGAGGCAGACACTCTTAAAAGTAAATTCTGGGTTCATTGTTCGAATGTTAAAGTATTTTACTTCATTCTGCATTAGTAAGTCAAATTTAAGTGTTCTCCTTTTAATTGTAATCTTTAGTTCTTTCTAGTTCCCTCTAGTGTTCAACCTTCAAAGACCCATCCTATCTTTTTTTTTTTAAGAATTCAAAACAAAATTATTTTCCCACAGAAAGGATTCTTATAATTAATTCCAAAATCTTATTTCCAATGTATCTGGACACTTAGTCTGTTTGTAACTTTCTAAAATCAAAGATGTTAGTTTTTGCTGTTTTTCCAAAAAAGATTTTTTTAAGTCCTTAAACTTGTATTTAAAAGTTCTTTTGCTAATGATTGAAGGAAACTCAACTGGTGCTGTAAAATGCATCAGTCCAAAAGTCCCTAATAGCTGAAAAGCAGTTAACAAGCAATTTTTGAAAGTGATTAGAAAAGGAAGTATGCAAACCCAGTGTCCTTAAAGGTGCAAACTGCAGTTTCAGCAAGATGGCTATTCCCTTGTCTCCCAGAGCTCTAAACCCACCAGAGACAACTGTCTTGTGGTCTCCTACAAGAAGCAACTGTATGGAGCACTTGTGAGTAATCTCAAGTCCTCTCCTTGTCTGGAAATGAATTATGAAGAGCTGGGCTACTCACCGGCACTTCATTCTGCCACGGTCTCCATTTTTTCTTCCCCATTTCTTCTTGGTCAGTTCACCATTTCTTCCCCAGAAGTCAAAACAGATGAGATGTTTCCGTGGGTTCTGTGGACTGAAAAACTGATTTCAGTCACACTATGCATTTATAGTACATCAAACTTGGAAAGTGATATTTTCGATAAGATTAAAAAAAAAAAATAGAAGTGGTAGTTAATAAAAGCAGAATTGGTTAATAAATGCAAAAGCTTTAGTTAAGTACCACTATATAACCTGACTGGACAATGCAGAAATTCTTACAGTAAGCTATCTGCAGATTTTCCTCCTTAAAAAACTGCCTATAGTTATTCTTGTTGTAGGAGAAGAAAATGTAAATAAATAAGAGAAGTGAAATTGTCCATACACTAGTTGTTTTGTTCAGAAATGATGTCTGCAATAAATAGTATGTGCAGTAAAATAAAGCTGCAGCTTATTTGTTAAATATGTTTAAAAAGAAAAGGATGAAAAAGCCCAAGTGTGTTTAACAAGGGTAATCTAGGTATACTACTTACCCGTGGTTTCTAATCAGTTCCTCTACCCACAGTGCTCCTGCTCTTTGCTTAGATTTCTCCTGTTCCCTGGTTCTTGACTTTTCTCCAGCTACTCATAGGTATTCCAAAGTTCCCTTGGGTTCTCATGGATATCTCCAAGGATTTCAAAGCAAAAGACAGATAAAGAAAAATGCTGAACACACCATTCAATAAAGGCTTCTTAACAGAGTCACATTATGACAAAGTACTATGCACAGGAGAAATTGTGCTTGATTGGCTAAGGCAAAACAGTAACAGCCAGCTTTATATCACTTCTGGGATCTGCTTCTACTAGAGATGCCAGAGTTCTAGAAAACCTAGCAAAGCAAGATGGCGGCTTTGCTTCACTCTTGGGAATGAGAGATATTGTTGCTCCATGAAGTAGCTTCAGAAAGGGACTTCCCTTGAAACTCAGTTGAAATGAAGCAATCATTTGAAATTGCAGAGTCCTAATGTTTATGATAAAAACAATTCTTCCTCTTTCCACTGGGTGGCCTTGCAAAATCAGCTGACCTCAGTAGCTCCTTTGATTTTTTAAAAAAAGAACTTTTTTTAGTTTTCCAACAGCAAGACAACTGCAACAAAGCCATATTAAATATTTTCTGAAATACCCAATGTACACAAAAATAGTTTCAGGTGTATTACCCTTTTAATAAGATTGAAATAGGCTAATTCCACATTTAAAAAAATAAAACCTTCCAACTTTATACAAGAATAGGACATTTAACTCATTGGAAAAGTATTTATTCTCATAAAAAGATTTAAAGTTGGTGTGGAGCGTTCAATTAGTTTATTTCATTTATAAGTCAGACACCAAATTAAAAGGAAAAAGAAACATATTTGGGAGACTAATAAAATAGATAAAGGGAACAAATGACACAAATTAAGAGGTAAAGTAGGCTAAAATCAAAGATAGAATAAAGTGTTTTATGTATGCTTATAAACAGCAATTGTACAAAAGTAAATAGCATGAGATTATCATCTTTATTGTCCCTCAAAAACACCAATGCTCAAGGCCTAAAAAAGTTTAAACCCAATAGCTTCTGATAGCAGTTGCAATAGAGGAAAATTCAGCAGCTTTCTTATGTGCTCACCAGGGGTGGGAGTCACAACAGCGGCTGCAAGCCCCATCCCTCCATGCAAGCCCCATACATGCGTGATGTCAACACCTATAGAGGTGGGGATTCAATCACATCGTCTTGACCACCATCTGAACATTTCCCTACTGACTGCCCTGGAGGTGTCTTCCAGAGTGAAAATAAATATGTATTTATCAATTTGTTGAAAAATAAGGTTCTGTGGACTGAAAAACTGATTTCAGTCACACTATGC